ATTGCCGCAGGCAGGAGGGAGGGGGGAGGAGCGAGGACTCGACGTGCCTCCCCCTCCCTCCCCTGCCTCCTGCCTGCTGCAATCAGCTGACTTGCAGTGTTCAGGAGGCAGGGGAGGGAGGGAGGGGGAGCCTGCGTGCTGTGTCCTCACTCCTCCCCCTTCCCTCCTGAATGCTGCAAGCCAGCTGATTGCCGCGGACAGGAGAGGGACTGGGGAGGAGTGAGGATGTGGCGTGCGCAGTAAAGGAGGAAGGGGGGATAGAAGAGGTGGGTTAAGGGTGGGGGTTTGGGGGAAGTGGTAGAATGGGCGGGCCAAGGGTTGAGCCCCCCGCCCCTGGTGCTTGCAGAGTAGGGGAAGCTGCCACTGCTGCTGTGCAATGTACTTCTCCTAGCCTACAGCACCTTCAGGCTCCATGCCTGCCTCATTGTCTCCAGTGCCAGTGGGCTGTGCCTGAGTGGGGTAAGGCGGGGGCACCTCCCAACTATAGTACTGTACTGTATGGTTAAAAAAAAATTCCCTGGAACCTAACACCCCCATTTACATTCATTCTTATGGGGAACTTGGATTCGCTTAACATCGTTTCACTTAAAGTCGCATTTTTTAGGAACATAACTACAACGTTAAGTGTGGAGTTACTGTACACGCTTACAGCCAATTCTTGTGAACTAAACTATGATTTATTAAAAGAAGAAAAGACAGTATTGGCTAAAAGATCATTAGACATACAAATGCAAATAGAGACCTTAGGTCAGTTTCACCATAGAGATGGTGCATTAGAATTGAAAAGAGTCTGTTTCTAGTCCAATGTCCAAATGTTCACTATCAGGGCAGTCCAGAAGGGACTGGAGATCTCAGTCTTACAATTCAAACTATCCCTGAATAAAGCTTCAAAAGATCTGAGATAAAAGGATCAGGTTCCAGAATTTATATAGACATTTTTGCAGCCTTTTCACAGCAGGCAGTCCTTGGGTGAACAATAAGTTGTAGAAGTAACCTCCTATTTCCCAAACATCACAGGTAATTAAACTACATGGATTAACATAAAGTAATTATCCCTATAGAATCATAGAATATCAGCGTTGGAAGGGACCTTAGGAGGTCATCTAGTCCAACCCCTTGCTCAAAGCAGGACCAATCCCCAACTAAATCATCCCAGCCAGGGCTTTGTCAAGCCTGACTTTAAAAACCTCTAAGGACTGAGATTCCACCACCTCCGTAGGTAACTCATTCCAGTGCTTCACCACACCCTCCTAGTGAAAAAGTTTTTCCTAATATCCAGCCTAAACCTCCCCCACTGTAACTTGAGACCGTTACTCCCTGTTGTCATCTGCTACTACTGAGAACAGTCTAGATCCATCCTCTTTGGAACCCCCTGTCAGGTAGTTGAAAGCAGCTACCAAATCCCCCCCCCCCCATTCTTCTCTTCTTCAGACTAAATAATCCCAGTTCCCTCAGCCTCTCCTCATAAATCATGTGCTCCATCATTTTCGTTGCCCTGCGCTGGACTCTTTCCAATTTTTCCACATCCTTCTTGTAGTGTGGGACCAAAACTGGACACAGTTCTCCAGATGAGGCCTCACCAATGCCAAATAGAAGGGAATGATCACGTCCCTCAATCTGCTGGCAATGCTCCTACTTATACAGCCCAAAAACTGTTAGTCTTCTTGGCAACAAGGGCACACTGTTGACTCATATTCAGCTTCTCGTCCACAGTAACCCCTAGGTCCTTTTCTGCAGAACTGCTGACTAGCCACTGGGTCCCTAGTCTGTAGCAGTGCCTGGGAGTCTTCCTTCCTAAGTGCAGCACTCTGCACTTGTCCTTGTTGAGCCTCATCAGATTTCTTTTGGCCCAATCCTCTAATTTGTCTAGGTCCCTCTGTATCCTATCCCTACCCTCCAGCGTATCTACCACTCCTCCCAGTTTAGTGTCATCTGCAAACTTGCTGAGGGTGCAGTCCACGCCATCCTCCAGATCATTAATGAAGATATTGAACCAAACCCGGCCCCAGGACCGACCCCTGGGGCACTCTGCTTGATACCGGCTGCCAACTAGACATGGAGCCATTGATCACAGCTTTCTATCCACCTTATAGGCCATTCATCCAGCCCATACTACCTTAACTTGCTGGCAAGAATACTGTGGGAGACCGTATCAAAAGCTTTGCTAAAGTCAAGTCCACTGCTTTACCCTCATCCACAGAGCCAGTTATCTCATCATAGAAAGCTATTAGGTTAGTCAGGCATAACTTGCCCTTGGTGAATCCATGCTGACTGTTCCTGATCACCTTCATCTCCTTGAAGTGCTTCAAAATTGATTCCTTGAGGACCTGCTCCATGATTTGTCCAGGGACTGAGGTGAGGCTGACTGGCCTGTAGTTCTCCAGATCTTCCTCCTTCCCTTTTTTAAAGATGGGCACTACATTAGCCTTTTTCCAGTCATCCGGGACATTGCCCGATCGCCATGAGTTTTCAAAGTTAATGGCCAATGGTTCTGCAATCACATCCGCCAACTCCTTTAGCACCCTTGGATGCAGCACATCAGGCCCCCTGGACTTGTGCTCATCCAGCTTTTCTAAGTAGTCCTGAACCACTTCTTTCTCCACAGAGGGCTGCTCACCTCCTCCCCATGCTGTGCTGCCCAGTGTAGTAGTCTGGGAGCTGACCTTGTTCATGAAGACAGAGGCAAAAAAAGCATTAAGTACATTAGCTTTTTCCACATCCTGTCACTAGGTTGCCTCCCCCATTCAGTAAGGGGCCCACATTTTCCCTGACTACCTTCTTGTTGCTAACATACCTATAAAACCCTTCTTGTTACTCTTAACATCCCTTTCTAGCTGCAACTCCAAGTGTGATTTGGCCTTCCTGATTTCACTCCTGCGTGCCTGAGCAATATTTTTATACTCCTCCCTGGTCATTTGTCCAATCTTCCACTTCTTGTAAGCTTTTTTGTGTGTTTAAGATCAGCAAGGATTTCACTGTTAAGCCAAGCTGGTCGCCTGCCACATTTAATATTCTTCCTACACATCGGGCTGGTTTGTTCCTGCAACCTCAGTAAGGATTGTTTAAAATCCAGCCAATTCATAGCAGTTCATAGGCAGTTTACCACAAACTTTAAATAGAGAGAGATATACAATGACGTTATTATACCCAAGTTTCATCTAAATGTTAATATTTCCTTTTGACTTCTGAAATAACAAAATAGAGTCCTAGACAGAAACCCTTTGGTTACACTGTTCATCTGTAACAAGAAACAGGTAAACAGAGACTACTACAATTACTATCTTCTAGGGCTGTCAAGTGATTAAAAATGGTAATCGTGATCAATCGCGGTTTTAAAAAAAATAGAATACCATTTATTTAAATATTTTGGATGTCTTATACATTTTCAAACATACTGATTTCAATTGCAACACAGAATACACTCCGTGCATCTGGTGAAGTGGGTTATAGCCCACGAAAGCTTATACCCAAATAAATGTGTTAATCTCTAAGATGCCACAAGGACTCCTCGTTGTTTTTACAGAATACAAAGTGTACAGTGAGCACGTTGTATTTTTTTTAGTACAAATACTTGCACTGTAAAAAACAAAACAAATAGTATTTTTCAATTCACCAACTGCAAGTACTGTAGTGCAAGCTCTTTATCATGAAAGTTGAACTTACAAATGTAGTATTACGTACAAAAAATACCTGCGTTGAAAAATAAAACAATATAAAACTTTAGAGCCCACAACTCCACTCAATCCTACTTCTAGTTCAGCCAATCACTCAGAAAAACAAGTGTGGTTACAATTTGCAGGAGATAATGCTGCCCGCTTCTTGTTTACAATGTCACCTGAAAGTCAGAACAGGCATTCTCGTGGCACTATTGCAGCCAGCATGGCAAGATATTTATGTGCCAGATGTGCTCAAGAGTCATGTGTCCCTTCCTGCTTCAACCACCATTCCAGAGGACATGCATCCATGCTAATGACAGGTTCTAATCGATAACGATCCAAAGCAGAGCAGACCAACACGTGTTCATTTTCATCGATAGAGTCAGATGCGACCAGCAGAGGGTTGATTTTCTATTTTGGTGGTTCAGGTTCTGTAGTTTCCCAATCAGTGTGTTGCTCTTTTAAGACTTCTGAAAGCATGCTCCACACCTCATCCCGCTCAGATTTTGGAAGGTACTTCAGATTCTTAAACCGTGGGCTGAATGCTGTAGCTACCTTTAGAAATCTCTGATTGTTACTTTCTTTGCATTTTGTCAAATCTGCAGTGAAAGTGTCCTTAAAATGAACATGTGCTAGATCATTCTCCGTGACTTCTATATTATGAAATACTTGGCAGCATGTGTGTTAAACAGAACAGGGGACATACAATTCTCCTCCAAGGAGTTCACTCACAAATTTATCTAATGAATTATTTTTTTTAAATGAGCATTGTCAGCATGGAAGCATGTCCACTGGAATGGTGGCCGAAGCATGAAGGGACATAGGCATGTTTAGCATATCTTGCACATAAATATCTGCACTGCCAGATACAAACGTGCCATGCGAACACCTTCTCACACTTTCAGGTGACATCATAAATTAGAATCAGGCAGCATTATCTCCCGTAAAAATAAACAAACTTGTCTGTCTTAGCGATTGGCAGAAAACGAATAGTGGACTTCTAGGCTCTAAAGTTTTTAATTGCTTTATTTTTGAGTGCACTTATACAAATAAAATCTATGTTTTTAAGTTACACTTTCCTGATAAAGAGATTGCACTACAGTACTTGTATGAGGTGAATTGAAAAATACTATTTTTATTTTGAATGTTTACAGTACAAATATTTGTAACAAAAATAATATAAAGTGGGCACTGTATACTTTCTATTCTTTATTGATTTCTATCACAACAGATATGAAAACGTAGAAAAACATCTGAAAACATTTAACAAATTCCAATATCTATTCTATTGTTTAACTATGTGATTCAACAAGATTAATATTTTTAACCACAATGAATTTTTTTGAGTTAATCATGCAAGTTAATTGCAATTAATCAACAGCACTACTATCTTCTTTCGATTACTTAACAATACCAAGTTACATTTCAAAGTTCTAGTCTCTATTTCTTGGAATGGTCCCAAATACCTTTTACACACTTTTCAAACACTTATGGTCTCCCTCTTGTATGGATTGCTTGATGTTTAACAAGGTCAGACCTCCGTATGAAACTTTTTCCACAGTCTAAGCACTGATGGAGTCTCTCTCCAGTGTGGATTTTTTGATGTACAAGAAGATTTGACCTCCGTACGAAACTTTTTCCACAGTCTAAGCACTTATGGGGTCTCTCTCCAGTGTGGATTTCCTCATGTTTAACAAGGTCTGACCTCCGTATGAAACCTCTCCCACAGATTAAGCACTTATGGGGTCTTACTCCAGTGTGGATTGCCTGATGAATAAGAAGGGCTGATCTCTGTATAAAACTTTTCCCACAGTCTAAGCACTTGTGGGGTCTCTCTCCAGTGTGGATTGCCTGATGAATAAGAAGGGTTGATTTCTGTATAAAACTTTTTTCACAGATTAAGCATTTATGCGGTCTCTCTCCAGTGTGGATTGCCTGATGTTTGAGAAGGGCAGACCTCTGTATGAAACTTTTCCCACAGTCTAAGCACTTATGGGGTCTGTCTCCGGTGTGTATTCTCTGATGTTCCATAAGATTTGATCTTTGTGTGAAACTTTTCCCACAGTCCAAACACTTATGGGATTTCTCTCCTGTGTGGATTATCTGATGTTTAGCAAGGCCTGACCTCTCTACGAAACTTTTCCCACACTCTAAGCACTTATGCGGTCTCTCTCCTGTGTGTTTTCTCTGATGTCTAAGTAGGGCTGACCTCCATACGAAACTTTTCCCACAGATTAAGCACTTATGGGGTCTCTCTCCAGTGTGGATTGCCTGATGTGTAATCAGTGTTGACTTCCAATTCAAACAATTCCTGCCCTCAAGGCACTGAGTGGGTTTCTCTCCTGTGTGGCTTCTCCCATGGTTATTAAGATCTGAGCGGTTATTGAATCTTTCCCCACGGTCCGAGCATTGAAGTGATTTCTCTTCAGTATGAATTGTCTGAGGTGAAACAAACTGTGGTCTCAGAAAGAATCCTTTTCCATAACCGAGGCATAAATAGTGTTTGTCTTCCTTAGGGGTTATGTGATGGGCTGTGGGATCCCTGTATCCTTTCCCACAGATAAAAGATTCATCCATCTGCTCCCTTGAGTGGTTTCTCAGCAGCCTCTCTGAGCTCTGCCAATTTCCCCAGGCTTGTCCCTGTTCCAAGCACTGGGAAAAATTCCCTTCAGCTCTTCCCAAAAAGGTCCCCTGTGATTCTCTGTGCCCAGGAACTTCCTGCTGTTGATTCCCCTCCTCGGTCTCACTTACTCTCTCATCACCTGCTGGGAGAGAGACAATCCAGACAGGAGTCATTGTGCTGGGGAGAAAAAGAGGAATAGCACCAAGGGAAAACCAACATACTAAAGCTGCACCGACAGAGCAATTGGATTCTGCCTCCACTTCCCACCCAAACTTTTACAGAGAAGGAAAGTAGGGAAGGAAACTCCTGCAGTTAACAGGACATGTGGGAAGTGATGTCAGTGATATCTGCTGCCTGCAACCCTGCCTAGGTGAGAAGAGGAAGGAACTAAAGGCATTTACTGATACCTCATTTTTGGGAGTCTCAACTTTTTCCTTCCTTCACCAGATGGCTTGTGTTAGTCCTCACCTGTGTGGGAGCCTCTTGGGATCTCTCTTCCCTCACAGGACTGGAGATCGGGCACCCACGGCTCTTCCCCTCGTTCCAGCCGGCTGATCAGATCAGGTTTGAGAAGGGGGAATCCTGTGTAGGGAGTGAAATCAGACCAGATAAGGCTGCATGGAGGATTGCGAGAGCGTGTCAGAAAGGACATTCCGTGAGCGGAACCTGTCCCTGTGCTGTGCTGGGGAATGTGGAATCTAAGAGGACGAGAACATGGTCACTGAGCCCCCTCAAGGGGGGCAGACATCTGGGGAGGTGAGGGGAATTGTGGTGCACACTGAGCTCTAGTGTTAAACCCCTGCCTATTTCTAAACCTGCGGAGCCCAGAGCCCTCCACATGGCTGGAGGTGTTACCAAGGAGGAGGGAGAAGAGGGATTCTGTGCGAGACCGTGAAACAACACAGACAAGACAATACATGACTTCTCCCCCTTGGAAGGTAGGGGTGTTGGGTGGGGATGATTTAGTATGTGCCTTAGGTTTTGACACCATGGTCTCATTGCGGTGTCAGTCACACAGACCACCCCCCCCAGCTTCCAATAACCCAGGGGCCAGGAATCCCTTACCCAGCGAGGTCACCGTCTCATAGTTCTCCCGCATGACGTCCCTGTAGAGGGCTCTCTGAACGGGGTCCAGCAGAGCCCCCTGCCCCTGGGTGAAATACACAGCCACCTCCTCGAAAGTCACCGGCATCTGAAACAACAAGAGTCCCCCACTCAGCACGTACTGCCCCAGCCACAATCCCATTAGTCACAGGGGAGGAGGACCAAAGAAGCAGAATCCTCCCCACACCCTGCTCAGAGCTGCCAGGAGGCTTCAGGGGGTGGGAGAAGGTGAGAGCTCTTTGTCCCCCCCAGCAGATGGAGCAGGGCAGGTTCTTCTCATTTACCACACGCCTGCCAGCCACAGGCTGATACGAGAAGCTGAGCTCTGAGCCAAGGACAGGAACAGGAATCCCAACAGCTTCCCTTTGTATTTCACAGCAGCCTCTGGCCAGTGGGGTCAGGCTCCAGCACTGCAAGTTTGGTCAGTTTTCCAGCCCTGCCCAGAGTTCAGAAATGGGGGAATGTTTCCCCTCCCCCTCAACACGCCAATGCGCCTATTCAGAAAATCAGGCCCAGGTTGATCATGTTCTAGCAGGTTCATCACACCCAGTCCCACCCTGGGTGATTAACCCCTCTGCAATGCCCCTCCCCCCCCACACACACCAAAAGCTCCTACCTGAGCTGGGTCCATCACAGCCATTTCCCTTCCCTGTCTCCTGGAAGATGGGATGATCTGGAGCGAAACGTGGATGCAATTCCTCAGCCTGTTGGGGCAAGAGGGGCAATGGGGGAGGTTACAGAAGGGGCTGGAATCCATGTCACTCCCCGATTCCCCCCAGGCTCTCTCCCTGCAGACAGACGCTCTGATTCTAGGACTCTGCCATGCTGGGAAGAAACCCAGTTAGTTCATTACCTCCCCGTCCAGGCCCCCTACGCCCCCATTAGAACTAACCCCACCACGTCCCTTCTAAACCTCCCCAGAACAGTATCTCTGAGCCAAACGCTGGAAAAAGAGCAGAATCAAAGGAGTCACTTTAGGGCACTGCCCCACAGTGTATTGTAACCCCTCTAGCTCTCCCCCGTCTCCCTAAATAGTGCGGTGCTCAGCAGAGTGAGCAACTGGCTTTGCCTCTCTCAGCTCCTCCCCTTGTTCCCAGGAGAGCAGACTGCTGGGGAGGGGGGGGGTGCAGGGAATGGATCTGGGCAGGGCTGGGAGCTGGGAACCTCCCTCCCCACTTCTTGCTCCTGCTGCCCTTCAAGTCTCTCCGCTCTCCCTTTTCATCTTCTTCCCTCGCCCAGGGAGAACGGGCGACTGCCCCATTGTCGTGGGCCTTTGCTCTCACCAGGCAGCTCAGCCACTGACACTGGTAACGGGGGTTGAACCCGGCTGTGTCACTGAGGGCAGCAGCTCTGGGGCTCACAGACACAGAGAGCCCCTCCCCTTGTAGGCCAAACTCACCAGCTGGTCCCTGAAAGGGGCCTTTTGTGCAGAGTCATTTCCCTGCCCGGCTCCAGCCCTTTCCCCAGGTCTCTCCATCACCTGGAGGCTCAGGGGCTGGTATGGTCAGAGGGGTTTCAGCCACTGGAGAAAGTGGCCCTGGGCTGGTCTCAGAGGGGTGTGATGAAGCAGGAATGTTCTTAATATTTTCTCTGAATACCAAGTGTGTTTCTCAGTTTCCCCATGTGTTACTCAAGTATTGAACTGGTGGGATACAGGTGTGTGATCATTGCGGAGACCTCTAGAGGACAGGTGTGACTGCAGAGTTGCTTCCTGGGCATAGAGGAATGGTGGGCAAACTGCGGCTGGGCCCATCCTATCCCACTCCTGAGCAAACAGGGGAGGCTTCCCCGGCCCCTCCCCGACTTTCCCTCTGCAGCCACGCCAACACACACGGGCAGCGCTCTGGGGGGCAGGGCTGCACGGCAGCGAGTCTGGCTCCGGTCACTGCTCTGAGCAGCATAGTAAGGGGGCCGGGGCCAGAGCCAGGGGGTTGGGTAAGGGGCAGGGAGTCCCAGGGGGCAGTCAGGGGACAGGAATCTAGGGGTGGTTGGATGGGGCAGAGGTTCTGGGGTGGTCATCAGGGGATGGGGAACAGGGGGGGTTTGATGGGACGTGGTAATCGCGAGGCTCTGTCGGGGAGTGGGGGTGTGGATAGGGGTTCGGGCAGTCAGGGGACAGGTAGGTTGGATAGGAGGTGGGGAGGGGTCTCTGGAAGGGGCGGTCAATGGACAAGGAGCAGGGGGGCATAGATGGGGTGGAGTCTTGTGGGGGTTGTTAGGGGCAGCGGGTCTCTGGAGAGGGCGGTCAGGGGACAAGGAGCAGGGGGGCTTAGATGGGGTGGGGTCTTTGGGGGGTGGTTAGGGGAAGGAGGTCTCTGGAGAGGGCGGTCAGGGGACAAGGAGCAGGGGGAGTTGGAAGGGTCAGGGATTCTGAGGGGGGGCAGTCAGGGGACGTGAAGTAGGAAGGGGTTGGATAGGCGGCAGGGCCAGGCTGTTTGGGGGAGCACAACTTTTCCTATCCTGCCCTCCATACAATTTTGATCCCCGTCGGGCCAAAAAGTTTGCCCACTCCTGGCATAGAGAATGGTCAAAATTCTGTATCCTGACAAGTGATGGCCGGAGCCGGAGCTGGTCCTCTGCTAGGAGCCAGCTGAAGGTGTGTGAGAACAGAGAGAGAGGGGGAGGCCAGGTGACCTGTTTTCCTGGGAAAGAGAGAAAGCACGGAGGAGGGGCAGCTGGGCGTCACTGAGGATGGGGGGCTGGACGTGGGTCAGTCTCCTGGTTTGGGACTCAGTGGGGAGAGTCCAGGACTCGGGACTCTGGATTCCCCCCCCCCCCATGGAGTTTGCTGAAAGCTCCTGATTTCTGTGCTAACAAGCTCTGTTCTATGCTGTGTTCCCAGCGACCAATAAACCTTCTGTTTTCCAAGCTGGCTGAGAATCACAGCTAACTGCGGAGGTGGGGTGCACGGCCCATGTGGGGAAGCGTGTCAGGCTTCTCCTTAGGCTGCCCCAGGGGCTCAGGCTGGGGCCGTGTGCCCTCCCTGGGCTCTGGGGAGGGGGAGACTGGGGCCACACGCTCAGCGGGTGGGGCGATATTGGGAGTGCTCAGGGGCTGGGGTCCTACGCCTACGGGGGGGGGCAGGAACTTGCCTCCCCCAGCCCTAGATTCACACACCCCCCCCCGATGGCTGTACCCTGTTCTTATCAGCAGCTCCTAGTCCCAGGCGGGGGTGTGTGTGTGTGTGTGAAACAATCTATACAGTGGGGGGGGCGCTGAGAGCCATTGAACCAAACTGTAAAACGTGGATAGGATGGAAACCCCTTCAAGCCAAGGGGTGTGGCAGGTCCCCACCAGCCTAGATCCAACGCCTGTGCTGCCCCCCCCCCCCCCGCCCCCATGTTCCCCTGGGACCCCCCCCCTCCCAAGCCCCGAGCTGGGGACCCCACCCTGCATTCAGTTTTGCGCCGGCCTACCGTCTGCCCTCCCCCCATTCTCCCCCCTCAGCTGCAGCCTCCGTCCGCAGTCCGCACCAAGGCGGCCAGGAGCAAGAAAAGAAAGCAGCACATGGGGGGGGGGGGGATGGGTGGTAACAGGATCCTGCCCCCGCCCCGCACACACCGGGAGTTGGCGGCAGCTTTCCCGGGCCCAGGGCGGGAATCGCAGCCAGCTCCGCTGGGAGCAGCCTGGGGACAAACCTCCCGCTGCAGCCCGGGGGTGACGGGGGGCGGGTCTCTCTTACCTTCCCTCCGAGCGGGGCCCCCCTGGGGCAGGGGCCGGGCCGGGAAGGGTCCTGGCCAGGCTGGGGGCTCTCCCCTGGGAGAGGCTCCTGGGGAGCAGCGGGAAGGGCCTTGCTGGAGATTCCCCTCTCCCGGCTGCAGCCAGGGCTCCGGGCTCCCAGCACCAGCCGCCGGGGCTCGGGGATCTCGCCGGGAGCCAGAGTCACCGCAGCGGCTGCGAGTCACTTCCTGCTGCCGGGACTGAGCCCAGCGATCGCTCCCCCCAGAGCCGCCTCCCAGCTGCTCCTGGGTCCTAGCGATAAACCCATCGCGCTGCAGCATCTCTGTGTCCGGCTTCTGTTCCACTCTCAGGACAGAAGGGAGGGACCGTCTTCCATCTAGCGGGGGGAATGGGAGACATATTTTTTCTAAAATACTTAATAAACTTTAGAGGAAACCAGTAAACATGCGCAGAGGTAAGCAGGGAAATGGTCCCGCTACTGCGGCGGGACTTTCCTGACTTAAACACCCACCGGTGGAATCAAAAAGCAGAAGGATTTGAGTCCTCGCTCCATTCACCCAGAGCCTGCCTCACCTCCAGGGCTCCCCTTCCAATCTCCTCTGTAGCAAAGTCCTTATAACCCCCACAAGGCTGGGCCCAGGCTTCCTGAGGGGCTCGTCCCCCAACCTGGTTGTGACCTCTCAGGACACGAGCTACAGCGTCCCCACTCCGGGGAACTTTCCCCACTCTGGACGCCTCCCTGATCATTGTCTATATCCCAGAACAAATGCAATTTACTAAACAGCAGCTAATTAACAAAAATCAGGAAACAATGGGAAAGGCAAAAGGAAAACCCTTTGCCCCACTCTGTGGGCACTGGGGAAGCACAAACAGCGTCTGTGGGATGCCAGGGCAGTTCACAGTCTGTCCCTCCCACATCCCAGGCCTCCTGCCCAGGCCCTGACTGTGCTGCAGGGATTCTGTGGTTCAGACACGTGCTCTGGCAGTGGCCACACGCCCTCAGGGTCTAGGTGACAGGACCTTTCTTCTCAGTGTCCCTGGAAAGGTGCAAATCCAGAGGACAAATAAAAAGTCCCACTGTACGGGGAGACTTTGGCAAACCAGTAAAGTGCCTAAAACTAATATGGCTTATTGTTAAAAAGCAACCTAGTCAGCAAGCTGTAAATTGGCCAGTTAGCAAACTCAGCTTGACCAAGGCAGGAGGTGTTTTTGGGGTGCCACGGAAGGGGCAGCTTGACCCCGTGTCCTTCCTGATAAGAATTGTGTTGAAGTTGCTGATACATGCATTTTAAAAGAGCAGGAATGTCTA